TATCTATCTTTGCTTTCCTCCATAGAATTAATCTTCCCTTTTCTTCTCCAGTATACTTTCTATCTTTATCTATTCTTGAACCCAAGAAAACAAAATTATCTTTATTTTTTCACCATCCATATGTTGGATGATCTTAATCTTTTTACCATTAACCCAGATGTATTTCCATATTTATTTTATAACAAACTTTTCTAAATCTTCTTTATTTTTAGGTAACTAAATGGTATCATCTGCATATCTGAAATACTGTAGTTCATGCTTTGCCTGCTTGTTTTCATTTCAGCTGTCACTAATTCCATTCTTATAATAAATAAATTTGACAATTATGGGGACCATTTGAATTCTTGTCTTATTCCTTTACCTATTGTAAGCCAACTCAAACTTTCTAATTTCACCAAGCATAATTCTTATTGTAACTTTTGTTGATGTTGAAGGTTCCTCAGAAGAATAAGCAGATGTTCAAGCACTTCTATTAGTTTTAATATATGTCACATTCTAACATGATCTAAACAAACTAACTCTTTGACAAAGTCAATAAAACACATGCAAGTTTATTCTTCACAATTTCATGGTCTCTCCACAATTTTGTTTTAATGTTAGCTATCTGATTTCATGTCTATTGGTTCATTTGCTATTTTCTTTTACCATGTATGGCTTTTTCTTCTTTGACTTTAAGCAAAACTTTGCTTGCACAAAGAATTAGTGTGATACTGAAGGAAATTACACATATTCTCTTGCATCTTGCTTTTTCAGCATAGGTATATAATTGATTTTATCCAATGATTCGAAATGTCTTCATTTGCATTCCAATCACAGGTCAGTAACATTCTGTTCTTTTTTAATTGAACACCTCTTACAATTTGCCACATTCTTGTTTTGTGTTGACATGGAGCTGTTAGCACTTTAAAGCTGCAGGAGAAAATGAAGTTATATAGTGACTGTGAAGGAATAGATTTTTGAATTCCTTTTTCTCTTAAACGTTTCTCTTATTTTATAATACTTTTAATTATGATATTTCCATCTTCCTTTAATCTAATTTGCCTCTATTGGGTCTCTTTCAGGATTACTTCAAGTAATTCTACTGTGGCTATATGAATATTTCTCTGATCTTAAAAACAGTTCTTATTTTTCTTTTCTTGTTATTATCCTTTATTTGTTGATATTCTTGACTGAGGTATTGTTTATTGACCTTTATTTATTTGGTTTAGCTGTGCTTTGTTTATTGCTTCAATTAGCTTAATTTTGGAATTCTATATTGCCTAATTCTTTTGTCTTCTGTTTTTCTTCGGTTATCACAACTTGTTCTGAAAGCCATTTGGATTCACTTCAAAATTTTGATAATATTATTCTTGCTTCAGCTTTCATAACAGTATACCTTAACTCTTCCCATAGCATCTCATGTTCTTACACATTAGGTAAATATGCTTAATTTCTTCCTTATATTTATCCTATATCGTGACTGATATTATTCCACTCATCCTGCTCTTTTCATTAATTCTCCAAACTTAACTTGCATATTTAATATCATGTATTGTTTGTTCTGTAGTTTGTATTTTTGTCTGATAGGATTGCATTTACTTATCTTCTGTTGTCTATTATTTATTTGATTTGATTCCAGGGTTTGCATCTGCTGGTATCTCTTTGTAGAAGCGGAGTCTATTTTGCTTGAAGCAGGCTTTGGCAAATAAATAAATAATCTTGTCAGAAATCCCCATAAGCCTTTCTCTTTCCTTATTTCATTACTCAGTCCAAATGTTCCAGTGATTCCAGAATCTCAATTTTCCAACTTTTGCTATCCAGTTACTGATTAATAGTACTCTGTCTTTTCTTGATTGAGCACATCTTATAATTTGTCACAAAATTCCTCAATGTCTTTGTCTACTGCTTATAAGTATGCTTGTATAAAACTGATGTTCATTGGTTATCCATTAATTCTAAATGATATGATCTTCTTGTATGTTGGGTTATAGCCGGTGCATAATTTAAACATAATTGCCAATCGATTTCTCTATTCCTCTATTTCTATTATCAGGTAATCACATACTGGGTCTGTTCTCATTCATTTAAATTCATTTATTTCTCAAACAACCAATTTAATAAGAATCATTTCAATTATGAGAATTTCAAGTTTAATTTGATTCATATTTTTCACATTCCATTTTTTATATCTAGGTGAAACTCTTCTTCCTTCTTCTTTCAGTACTGTTGAAACCAGATTTCCTTGCTACCTTTATTTTCCTATGCTACGCTCTCCACATTTGCTTATGGAAGCTTCACTTTCTTCCCCACAGGAGTGCCTTCCAATTTTGATGTCTTTTTATTTGGCATCCAGACTGATTTAAACATTTCACCTATATTTATGCGGGCTTTTTGGCAACAACACAGAAGTTGATTGTCATGGTTTTCTTCTGGATATAATTTTGAACTTACTACTTCTGGGTGGATTAGATTTTTCTATACCTGCAGAACTTCACCTGCCCTCATGCTCTGGATTTCTTAGTTTTCCCCCACCTTTGATATAAACAAGGATGATCTTATCAGGAGTTCTGAGTGGCATTGCTCTAGGCAGTGTTCTCAATTTTTGCCACTTGAACAGGGGTAGACTTTAATTCCCAGAATTCCTTAGCCAGCACAGCTGACTGGGGAATTCTGGGCATTGAAATCCACTCCTCTTGAAGTGGCTAAGGTTGAGAAACACTAGTCTAGGGTTTTGGAGGATTCTAAGTTCCTGAAGTAGTAATTCAACAAGAGAGAGTTTAATAATAGGGAAGTCATTTTCTAGAGGTAAAAATCTTGATTTATATTTTTCACCTGGCACAATTTTCAACTTCCATAGATATTCCAGATGGATGCATATTATTATACAGTCAACCAATGGCAAAATCTAATTCAGACAGTGAATTAATATATAAACAGTGTATAAACTTTCCACTGGTATTGTTACTGTGGTAAAGTACAAAAGAGTTTACTCTTTTACGTAGAATAAAATCTAGGATTGACAGAAGCAGGATATCAATACTCGTGTGGGTACAACAGTAGTACAGCTGGTGTCATAAATATTTGCACTCTATAGCAAGATCGCATAGCAGTGATAAAAGTTTGATATTTAAGAGTAAACTGTCACAGTTTATGATGTCATGGCTGGATCACAATCCTGTTAGCATTTCCTCCTGGGAAAGAAAAAGCAAAAGTGTCCATCTGCTGCAAAAAAGCAAAGCAAAACATCTGTTGGTGACATTAAGTGCTTTTCTGGCTGTGTTCAACACAAAGCAGCACAATGGAACTGTTTGGTTTTCGTGAGCAAGAAAACAAAAAGGTATAATGTCATGGGAAAGTATAAATACCTAAAAAACTAATTTGATATAATATATTTCCAGAATCATGGGTTTGCTAATTATGTTTACCCTTCAATATTAAGGAAACATAGATTAAAATCAAACATGGGTTTTATTGATTTCTTAATCAGATTATTACCTCATCCAAAGTTATAATTATACTTTACACTTATAATATAGTAAGTACATTTGAAGTTTAGGAAAAAGAAGGTACTTTAAAATTTTAATATGGTGCAGAAAAAAATGTTTGCTTTTCTTCCTAGCACATATTTTGTCTGTCAAAGTCCAAAGTAACAGCTCCCCAATAGAATAAGTGGGGATGTAGCAGTGCTCACCATTATGGGAGCAATCTTCTCCTAAGCCCCAAAAGAAACAACATATTCAGTTATTGAGTGAAGAATATCCAGAGGAATATATATTTATTTTATTATTTGCTCTTAACTGAGAATATATTCCAAATAATGAAAAATCAACTGGCACAGAAATGCATCTCAACAGTTGAGGAAATACATCAAACATATGTGGGAAATAAATGGTTTTGGAACAATTTTTCAGACCAGCTCTTTCTTTGATAAATCAGGGTTTGTTCAGTCAATTTAGCTTTTATATATTATGTTTTGGTAAAGGAAATAAAATCTCTGTTTGTTCAGGCAGGAATAGAATCTCTGCAGCAATCTTGGTCACACTCAAGCCCCTAATGCTGTCCGCAGGCTTGCTGGCTACTTCCCCTTGCCTCATTTCTGCTTATCAGAGGGCAGGAAGAGCAAAACACCTTTCCAGTGGTGGGATTTAAATATGTGAATAACCGGTTCTCTGTGTGGATGCTGCTTCTGGAAGTCCATTCTGAGCCTGGGCATCAAAAAAATAGCTATTGGTTCTGCCGAACTGGTGTGAACTGGCACCCTCTCCAGAGCCTCCACTACTAATATGCTCCCAAATGTTGCTTCAAATAGTTTCTTCAAACTTTGCTGGACAGATTCATTTCCTGTCCAGAAAGAGTGTTTGTATTTTAAAAAGATGGCATGCATGGAAGGGGGAGAGAAGAAGCACTAGGGCATAATTTTAAGACAATGGGAATCCCAATTAAGCACTTGAAACCTGAGACTAAGATCGGGAAGATGCATATAATATTATGATAGGCCCTGAGAGAAGGGATAATTAGATTATTCTATTGGCCCTGCAGATTTGGTTGAAATCCCTCCAGTAGTTGTTATTTAGTGCAAATAAATTAACCTTTCATTTCCAAAAGGAACTTGACTGACTAAGATTGCAGTACAGGAAGAACAGTTTACAAGTAGAAACAAGTCACTAGAGACACTATCTAGAGTGGCTGCTGGAGTTGAACTATTAAGTGATTTCTTCCAACTTTGCCAGCCATGCTCATTGTAGAGTACATGCTTTGCAAGTGAAAGGTTAAAGGTATGATTTGCAGGCTTCTCTATAAATAAAACAATATTTTGTCAGATAGAGAAATTACTAGAAAAGAAATCTGGTGTAAAATATTACTATGTGCCATACTCTACCTCCAGATGACATAGTTTAGTTATTTAATGGTAGTAATTATTTAAAGACCACATTGTAATTATAACTCATTTTAAAGACTATTGATATCATTGATACATTTATTTTCTAGTAATATATTCTTTCTTTTCCCTCCACATTTAGGTAGAGATCACAAATGATGTACAATCCTTGTTACTCATCATGCTGGCTGTCATGCTAGCAAAAATGGTTGGTGACTGGTTTAACATGTCTTTGTACAGTTCTTTACTGAAATTAAAAAGCATACCATATCTAGATGTTGAACCATTTGCCTACGAGAATAAAAATGGGTGAGTGTTTTTTTTCTTTTTATGAGCTTTAAATGAATTCTGGGAATGGGGTGGATCAAATGACTGTACAATGGGTGGTATTCCTTACTTAGTCATGTCTACAGGATTAGACATCAGATCACATTTTGTGTGACTTCTGATTGAAATTTGTCATAGAGCTGAAACATTGAATTTAAATTTTGATAGTGTCAGGAATATTTTGGGATATATGTGTGCAATGTTGTATATAATTACTGTCAATAACACTGGGTGGGTTGAAACATGAAAAGGAGATGCAGAAAAAAATAGGCCATTGGAGACTCAACAATGAATGAGAACAGTAAGTATTTAACAAGCATCTGTATGGAAAAACTATATATTTCAAATAAGTGTTAAGAGCTCTTTTTGTACATACATATGGAAGTGGAAAATGACATCATTAATTTTATTATTTATAATTAAAAATGGAAAGAATTCATGAAGGATACGAGATAGATGAAATGTTCAGAATGTGGAACTGACCATTATTTGTTAGCGTTGAAGTGTATTTTCTTGGAAAAAATAGACTATAGAAAGATTTTAAAACAGTAATCTTTCCTACATTCAATGTTTCTCGTATTCACTGATTTGATTATTTCTTGTATCCAATCACTCACACTCAGCCTGATTACCCAAAGAAACATGGAAAGGCATGGGTCAAGTCAGTAAGTGACAGAATTCATATTGCAGAGAACCCTATGTGTGTCATTAGGTATTACAGTTTCAAAATAATCCTATTAATAAGATGTAAACTAAGTGTCAAAACATTGCAAAGCTTGAAATATCCATTTGGAATTTGATCTCACTATTATTTATTTAGTGTATGGCGTATCATACAAGGACTAGCACTAGATATTTCACCTAGATTAGTAAAACATGATAAAATATAAATGTTAAAAAGATCTATGTTCAAATACCAATATCTAGGCCATCTAGCCATTGAAGCTCAACATTGTTTATATGAAAAAAATCAGATACTGGACCTATATTTGCCTTCAGCTTACAACCTGTTGCAATGTGATCTATAGTTTGATGTGGGACCCGGCAGTCACACTGAGGGGAGATTAGTCCAGGTAATTTCCAGGTGTCAAGAGTGACCTGAAAGCTCTCTCTCTCTCTCTCTCTCTCTCTCTCTCTCTCTCTCTCTCTCTCTCTCTCTCTCTCTCTCTCTCTCTCTCTCTCTCTCACACACACACACACACACACCTTTGAAATGGGGCAATTTTCTTCTGATTTGCCTTATGGTACCATCCAACATCTGCACGGCCAATGTAATTGCAAATAGACCTGGCATCAATTATTAAGCCCCTTAAAGCAAAGTAATCCAGCAATTTAGCCATCTGACCCTTAGGATGGTACCTTGGGGTGGGTCAGAAATCAAGATCTCTATGATATTGGAAGTATTTCTCCTCCTGTGATGGCCCATCTAACGTTCTTTGCCATGGCCTCAAAGATATAACTACCTATGCCCACATCTTGCTGAGGCTACCTAATACCTCCATGCTCATATAACCAAATGGGCATCTCCAATCCAGCCAGAATGCACCTAGGACCTGCTGTTGTAAATATCTTTCACTGGCCTCTCCTCAGTGAATGGTACAATAGTACCATTCACTCACACATACAATATTAAGAATTATTCCTACAACGTAATATTGCAAGCCATCTATCCCTATTTTTCAAATCTAGATGCAATAGCTTTCTCTTCCACTACAGTCAGGGGCAACCTGGCTGCTATTCCATCTTCCACTGGAGACATTTCTAGGTAAGCCTGTGGCAAAAGATTAGGGCCAAAATGATACACTGGGGGGAAAAGGGGGAACATGTCCCCAATCTCACTCTTAGAGCCCAATTTCACTACAAAATCATAGACCTTTTCTTATCTTCCATCAGTGGCAATCTGGTCTACCAGCCAGCAAGCTGTTCAAGCTCAACTTATTCAGTAGGTCTATTGCCTGCCTCAGTTTAAGATCATTCACTCATCCTATGTTCAGGTCCTTTGTATCAAATTCCAATGGGTTGCAGCTCTCAATTAGAAGGCTATAACTGAGTGCCAAGACTTTATTGGCCGAGACTTCTTGAATAGTAACCTGCCCCTCTATTCCCATGTTTTTGTAATCACATATCCACAATGAATGCAGTGTTATAACTAAAATAACAAATGACCTAGAATGTAATGAATGGATGGCGCTGTAACTTTTTTTGAAGAGGAATGGGAACATATATTTACTCCTATTTCTCTCCTCTTTTGTGGAATAGATATACGTTGAATTGCTCTCTCTTTGTAGTCTGATGAGAAAATGGTCTATTTTCAGCCAAGTTTGACTGACTCGCCAGATTGAAAGTCTCAAATTTCCATTAATAAACAATGAACAAGAAAGACTGCCTTTCTAATTGCATAGTGTAGTTTTTTTTTTACTTTTGTGTGCAAATATTTATTTCTGATAACATGAGCTTTTATGTTTTAAATTTTGGCTGATTGAGATGAACATAAGTAAAAAGAGTGCTCTGTGACTTCTAGTTATGTTGCATTTCTAGTTATAAACTAGCAGGCTGGAATGCTCAGAGTTGCTAGGTGTCAGGAAGTGCTTTTTAATGAGGGAAAGAGTTTTTGAACACATCCACAACTTGGCAAATCTTCTTGCTTTTATAAACCCCTGTACACTTCAAGAGAAAATATTTTACATCTAGCACTTTAATGTAATAAGGTCAGTTAAAGACTTGAGTAAGTCTGATGCTTATTCTGTTCTAGTTTAACATTACTTCTGTCAAAGCTTTCACTGAAGATTTCTCCCTGTCATACCACATAAAGCTGATGAGTTGATAAAGCTGAAGCCAAGAATTCTGAGCATGCTGTAGCCATTGCACATTGTTTTAAATAAAAACAGGATGCCATTATATTGAATAGTTGATTTTTATTGCATGCTTGAACTTTTCAAATTTCCTCTTCTACAATGCTAATAATGGACTTTGAAAATTGGAATGGATATATATTTTTAATGGATGGAAAATGTATAGAAAAAATATTTTGAAAAATTTTAGGTGAAAATCTGTCACCTTGAAGTTCAATGCAAATTATATCTGAAATAATTCCAATTTTTTCTAAGTTGACATGCATATTTTTTTCAGTGAGTTTGAGAGAAGTGACCTTATATGTCATCTAGTCCAATCCCTTGCCCAAGTAGGAAACTCTAGTCTACACCATTTCTGACAGATTGCAGTCCAGTCTCTTCTTGAAAGCTTCCAATGATGAAACTCCCACAACATCTGAAGGCAAACTGTTCCATTGGTTGATTGTTCTCTTAGAAAATTTATCCTTATTTCTAGGTTAAATCTCTCCTTGATCAGTTTGCATCCGTTATTCCTTGTCTGGTCTTTAGGTGCTTTGGAAAATAAGTTGATCCCCTCCTTTCTGTGACAGACCTTCAGATATTAGAAGACTGCTATCATGTTTCTTCTGGTCCTTCTCTTCACTAGATTAGCCATGCCTAGTTCCTGTAACTGTTCCTCATATGTTTTAGCCCCCAGTCCCCTAATCATCATCGTTGCTCTTTTCTGCATTTTTTCTAGAGTCTCAACATCTTTTTTTATGGTGTGGAGACCAAAATTGGTTGTAGTATTCTACATGTGGTCTTACTAAGACTTTATAGAGTGGTATTAGTACCTCATGTGATCTTGATTGAATCCCTCTGTTAATGCAACATAGGATTGCATTGACTTTTTTGGCTGCTGCTGTACACTGTTGGCTCATATTTAATTGATTGTTCACTAAGACTAGTGGACTGTTGGCTATTCCTGCTACCTTAGTATCATCTGGAAATTTGATAAGTTCCACTTTTATTCCCTCATCTAAGTTGTTTATTAAGATGTTGAAGAGTACTGGGCCTAGGACAGAACCTTGTGGTACCCCACTGCTTACTTCCTCCATGTAGACGTAGTACCATTAAGGACTACTCATTAAGTACGGTTTGTCAGCTAGTTAAAAATCTATCTGATGGTGATGCTGTCTATCCCTCTTTTTTTTTTTTTTTTTTTTTAGCTTTCCAAGAAATAGATTGTGGTCTATTTTGTTGAATGTTTTGCTGAAGTCTAAGTATACTATGTCCACAGCATTTCACTAGTATATTAATTTAGTTACTTGGTCAAAGAATGAGGTTGTACATTTTGGCAATCTAATGAGATAAAATAACAAATAAGACAAGAAGAAATGGCTGTTGGAATACCCATATTTTAGTTGTGATATAGTCAAACAATCATATTGCTCTCTTTTAAATTTTGGGGATTCTAATATGATGATGAATTGCCCTATGATTCTTACTGAAGAGCAGAGCACAAGCTAACAACCTTTTTTTAATTCCACATCTTACTTGTTTCTTAAAGTTATTAGTAGCTAGATTCTCCAGATATGAGAGAACATTTTACAATATATTTTAGAAGCATACTTAGTATCAGTAGCATAATGGCAATTTTATCTACTTTTCCATCATGAAATATATCAGGAGCATGTAGCAGTATACATGCATATGTATGTATAACTGAAATGAATGATAAAAGAAACTGCATAAAGATTAGCATCACTATTTCATATTATACTTTAGATTGGTTATGATACAACCTGTTTAACTAATTAATTCATTCATTAATTTCCACTGCTCACTTGCTGAAGCTATGACTATCTTTGATTTGGGATCTACCTAGCTATGCCATGCTTCACATAATACATTAAACCCTGTATCCTCTTTTCTTCTGCTTGTGGAGTTTTATGTCTGTTTTTTATCCAATCTGATAATGTAGGACGGAGAACTTTCTTAGTACTTGAACAAAACACTAGCAAAAGCTCAGCAGATGCTGTAGCAAAAACTGCTATTCTTTATGGGTACTTGCTTTATATTAAAACACTCTCTCTTACTGACTTCTAAATTTTCTATTTCTGATAAGCTCCATGAAATAAAATCTCTTCCATGTCCACACACTTTGAGGAACAAAGTTCAAGAGACCAACATATGGAATTCATATATTTTGTTCCAGGCTTATGGTGTGCTTATGTATCCTCCATTCTTTTTGGGGCTATTATAGATAATGCGCAGAGAGCAACTGACTTCCTGCTGAGAGAGAAAAACAGAGGTTGAATAGTTTCTATATGCCAGAAGGAAGGTTCATTGATGTCAGATGCAGTAGTTTGCAGGTGGTAGACACAGTGAATCTAGTTATTGGATGGGACACTCTACTAATTAGTTATGACTGTTCCACTATCTAGTCACCAGCTGGCAGACAAAAGAAATTACTGAGGCTTTCTGCTTAAAAACAACCAGATCATCCCACTGTGGTGATGCAGAGACTGATGCAGCTGGCTTATTTTTTTAAAAATAAGATCTATATATAAATGCAAAGATCTGTTGTATTTTAGGAATAATAACAATGTGATTCCTTTTCTTCCTCTTTTCTGTCTGATCTTTAATATTAGCAATCAGAATCCTATTCTATAATGGGAAGGAGAGGTTCAGACAATACCATTTCTTTGGGACCTAAATTGTGCTGTGCACCATATTTTAAACTTGGTTTTCAACCTGCACTGAAGGCCTCCTCATTTAACCTCTGATCACCACTGTCTAGTTGCTATATTTTAATTGTTTATGAGTAATTGAGATAGCTTTTATATTTGTTATGATGATTTAACATATGTTTGATTAGGTTATGTTACATTTTTCTGGTTTATGGTTGACTATTGGAGCTTTTCTTAATTCATTATTTACAATGTCACTAGACAGGTCTGTCTTGCCCAGCTATGATTTATTCAGCCTCATTCCAAGTGAATTTATGGAAATTATACAACATTCTAGATGAATGGGATCCAGAGGAAAGGGGCATGAATGGATAGGTGAGAACTGGACAAGAGTTAATAAGCTGAAAAATTATTGGACATCCAGAAATAAATGGATATAGTAATTATTTGGTAACTATCTGCTAGAAAAAGTTCAGTTCTGAATGTCTTTTAACCACAAATTTCTTCAAATCATTGAAAAATAGAATTGCAAAAAATAAAATTTATCATACTTTAATTTAGAGAAAGGTGTATGACAAAGTGAATAGACCTAAGTTGTGGATTATTTTGTTCCAGCTTTAAGTTGAATATTGGTTGATTAATATAAGAGGAATAATAGAAGTGAAGCATGTGTGAAGATATATAGAATATTTAATGACTGGCTCAACAGTGAGCAGAAATTAGTAAATCTGTGATGTCCCTTTAATTATAAAATACAGCATATGAAGTTAATGGGTTATTGGTTTGGGATATGAATATGTGTGTACCTTTTGTGATGATGCTGTGTTGTTGGCTGAGGAGCAAAATTATTTGCAGTAAATATTGGCTAGATTGCATGATGCAATGAAAAGTATGAATCTAAATATTATTAAATCAAACATTCAATGCTTTATAAATAAATGTAAAAATAACATTCTGTTGACACTGGAGGCATATTGGCTGGGGACATGAATATTCAAACATGTTGATGTCACATGATTGGGGAGAGAAATGCTAGAAATATTACAAAAATGAAAACTGTCAGCCCCTTACTGATGAAATTCTAGCTTCAGAAAATTCTTGGAAATCAGGAAATCCTATTTTTACAGCTATAACTTAATACTGTGTATGTTATAAAGATAATGTCAAATATAATAACTGTTAATAGAATTCACTGTAGTAAAATGGCTTTCTTACTATTTAAATTGCTTTTAACAAAGAAAAATTAAAAAGGGGAAGCAGAATGGTCTTACTGGTTTTTTGCAAAATTCTTTACTAGTTTACCTTGTAAAATTCAGTACAAATGCCCATAGATGGATTCAAATAAGAAATGATTTTGTTAAGGTTCTGGTTGTATTTGTGACTTGCATTCTTCTCATAATACAACTAGAATGTTGTGTCTCATCTGTTCTACTGCTAGTTGAAAAACAACTAACTTTTAAAATCTGTGAAGGAGCTAGTGACACACATATTTAATTTCAATATGTAATATGTAATATATTTCAAATTTAAGTTCCCACCTACTTATGTAACTGAACAACCAAATCACATATCTTTTTATATAACTTGACATTGCTAGAACCCTTCCCTCATTTTGAAAGAAAAAAAACTCAGATATAAAGGGGAAATAGAGCAGACTGAGTCTTTTCTAATTTTTTTATTTACTTATTAAATGGTGCACCAAAATAAAATATAAACATTCAGCAATGTAAAAAATCAAACTGTGAATATGAAAAATAACCGTTTATATTTGTAAGTAGGGGTATTAATTACTTTTTTCCAACCAAAACTAGATGTACTGAGTAACAGCAAAAAAGTTGTAAATGATAAATTACCAATAAGATTTAGTCATGCATGCAGTTAATAATAACAGGCAAACCTACAGTGTTGTATATAATTCAGAATCCAAACATAGCTAAGCTAACCAAATGAAACTGGCAATTACCAGGAAAATAAAGCCATCCCCAAAATAAATTCATGAAATATATTTATATAAGGTTTAATAGTTACTCAGCATAATAAAAAAATAGTTTATAAGAAACTAAACCAAAATCCAATGTTGTTCTGATGAAAATCTCTAGCTAAATAACAGATAAACATTCCCACCAAGTGAAGTGGATATTTGAGTTAGAACACAAACTACAGTGAAACTTATGAATGAATAAAACTGATCCTTATGGCTATATATTCTATATATTCTATTAAGAAAAGTTATTCAGAGGAATGTTCTGGTAGGTTTATATTAGGACTACATATGTGGGCCACAAACATCTGGGTGACCATGAGATGGCAGCAAAGTGATACAGAAAAGTCTGATGTACTGCTTTGAATGCCAGGATCTTTGTACCTAGTTATGGTCATTCTAGTTTAACATATTTCATTACAGATCAAGTCTAGACAAAATATTTTTCTCTCTAAAATAAAGGGTTACCTTTGAAACAAGACATAACTTCCTTCTAGGGTCCGCAGATTTTATTTCAAATTTTATATCTTCTTAGTGTAACTCCATGAAATTTGTGAGGTGATCAGATTTTATTACTGTTAAAATAAGTAAAACCAGCATGGCACAAATGTTCTCTTGTTATTCATCATGTAAGCAGTTATTCATGGTTTCTAAGATCATCTACCATTTTCACAGGTCAAATAAGAAATGATTTTGTTAAGGTTCTGGTTGTATTTGTGACTTGCATTCTTCTCATAATACAACTAGAATGTTGTGTCTCATCTGTTCTACTGCTAGTTGAAAAACAACTAACTTTTAAAATCTGTGAAGGAGCTAGTGACACACATATTTAATTTCAATATGTAATATGTAATATATTTCAAATTTAAGTTCCCACCTACTTATGTAACTGAACAACCAAATCACATATCTTTTTATATAACTTGACATTGCTAGAACCCTTCCCTCATTTTGAAAGAAAAAAAACTCAGATATAAAGGGGAAATAGAGCAGACTGAGTCTTTTCTAATTTTTTTATTTACTTATTAAATGGTGCACCAAAATAAAATATAAACATTCAGCAATGTAAAAAATCAAACTGTGAATATGAAAAATAACCGTTTATATTTGTAAGTAGGGGTATTAATTACTTTTTTCCAACCAAAACTAGATGTACTGAGTAACAGCAAAAAAGTTGTAAATGATAAATTACCAATAAGATTTAGTCATGCATGCAGTTAATAATAACAGGCAAACCTACAGTGTTGTATATAATTCAGAATCCAAACATAGCTAAGCTAACCAAATGAAACTGGCAATTACCAGGAAAATAAAGCCATCCCCAAAATAAATTCATGAAATATATTTATATAAGGTTTAATAGTTACTCAGCATAATAAAAAAATAGTTTATAAGAAACTAAACCAAAATCCAATGTTGTTCTGATGAAAATCTCTAGCTAAATAACAGATAAACATTCCCACCAAGTGAAGTGGATATTTGAGTTAGAACACAAACTACAGTGAAACTTATGAATGAATAAAACTGATCCTTATGGCTATATATTCTATATATTCTATTAAGAAAAGTTATTCAGAGGAATGTTCTGGTAGGTTTATATTAGGACTACATATGTGGGCCACAAACATCTGGGTGACCATGAGATGGCAGCAAAGTGATACAGAAAAGTCTGATGTACTGCTTTGAATGCCAGGATCTTTGTACCTAGTTATGGTCATTCTAGTTTAACATATTTCATTACAGATCAAGTCTAGACAAAATATTTTTCTCTCTAAAATAAAGGGTTACCTTTGAAACAAGACATAACTTCCTTCTAGGGTCCGCAGATTTTATTTCAAATTTTATATCTTCTTAGTGTAACTCCATGAAATTTGTGAGGTGATCAGATTTTATTACTGTTAAAATAAGTAAAACCAGCATGGCACAAATGTTCTCTTGTTATTCATCATGTAAGCAGTTATTCATGGTTTCTAAGATCATCTACCATTTTCACAGGTCACAGACATAAGCAGGAAATTGAACTGAACAGTTAGTCTCACCCATACTAATCATTATTCTATTTTTATAAAATTCAGATTTATTTATATTTTTGTTATAGTTTTCTTCATTCCAAGAACATTTTGTTAACTGAACGTGATTTTCTAAGCATTTTGTTTTCAGTTAGGATTTTAAAACAGAAAGCTCAAAAGCTCAAATAAATTGATCAAAGATGCTTGTCATCTAGTAAAAAACCATGGCTTGCATCTGGTTGAATTTATCATGGATTTTACTCATAGGTAGGAAGGGTATGCTTAATCACTACTTATGCTTTAAACAAAATATTCATAAATAAACCTAATTTTAGCTTGAATTCACTAGCACACTATAAAACCATCATATGCTAAAATGGTATTGCATGCTTAGTTTCCAGTTTACTAAATAACTTATGCTTGTCTGCTTTGTATTTTTCAGGTTAAATCTGGAATTGTTTGCTGCCAAAGATGTCATGAAGCTTCATGTCAGAGTCTTCAACTTAAAGGAAAACATTGCTTTCTTGGCTCAGGTCCTTGCCAGCACCAGCCATTGTGGATTCCCAGTGGTTTATAAATCTAAACCAGAGCAGTCCAAGGTGTTTCTGGGAACAATTACAAGGTAAGATAACCACTACATTCTTCCTTAGAGTAGCACCTCCCATCAGTGTTTAGAACTTAACACACACTATATTATGAGTAGAGGCTTTGCAATTTGCAATTGTTTGTTCTTGAAACAACAGTGTATGTATCTTTAATCAATATTGGACACATAGGGTTCTTTTTGTGTTACTGTGCAATATGACATTAGAAACAGAATAAAGTCTTAGGGATTTGAAGACATTTCAGAAAAAGATGCAGAAACATTTCTGTAGTCAAACTTCTCATAAAACTGAAGTAAAACTGGAAGGAGGGGAAATGAGTAGCCACCTTCCTCTTGTTTTTATGGACGTCTACTTCCTTTAAGATGAAGCTTATCAACATTCAGACAATAAAGGAAAGACCTAATACTTGGGATGTCTTGCTCCAGTATTGCTCCAGGTATTATACTTAAAGATACACTTTAAGGAAGAAAAATGGCAATACTTGTGGATTTTGTTATAGACAAGGATCACAAAAAAGTTTTTGTGCTATGGTTGATTTTCACTGTTCACCACTGATTTTAAAAAAAGACATATTCCCGATGATGTCATTACACAAATTCCACCATTACCTAGTTGTGTCTGATGAGCCAACTTATCCTCAAATACATAAATTATGATATTTGATGACATATATTTTTATTACCACCTCCTCCCCCAATGCTCATGGTTATCAGGAATTCATATCAAAACTGATCATTTTAGGGCACTTCTACATAAGCAGCTTTATTAAGAGAATCTACTAATCTCACAGTGAAAATGAAGCCTTGAAGAGGGTGGTCAGATGAATCATGGTCATCCAAATAAAACTGCATGTGGGACATCTACTTCTGCAAAGAATCAGACAGCCAATTGACATGCTTTTCCTTGCCAGAAAATTAGTATTGACATGACTCACCCAATCGATACCTGTTGGCTTGAAAAATATTTAAGGTGTCTTATTATCTTACTTTCATGCCCCAAATATATATCTTTCCTCTGGGAACAAAAAGGAAACTTTACATAACCTTACAAACTACAGCTCTTCTTCTGTATTTGAAGCCTTGACTAGCTCTAGCCCAGTTCTGATCTGGGGATATTGTAACTGGGAGTAGTGCTGTAATCTTGTCTGCTTTAAATCATTTAGAAATGTATTATAATGTCCTGATTCTGCCCGCCTGCACTTGTAGAAATACAACATAGCTATAACACTTTAGATTCAAGTCACCTTTAAACCAATCAGGGATCTCGGGTTTTGAAAAAATATAAAAATAAAAATGGAGTATTCAATGTTGGTAGAACAATGCTGGTACTGTGATTGCTATATGGATGGAAGCTAATTTAAGAACTACTAGTAAGCACTACAACTGCTTGCAGAAGAGTAGGAATGTAAAAGAATTAAACAGTTTTAGGCATTGTTGTTCTTCTTCTTGTTTTGTGTCCCCAGCATCTCCATAGCAGGATGAGGTTAAGTAAAATGAAGCATAGATTAAACATAGTAGGATGAAACTCAAGCTAAGTCCCCAGAGGAAAAAAAAAATCAGTTTCTTTTCTGAAAATGTATGAAGTCATCACAGCCACATCATGGCTTTTCTTCTTCGTTTTTTTTCCCTTCACAGCAAAATTGCTTTACATCAAAGCTGCCAAAAATGCCTTCTAGAGCTGCCTTTTACCCACTGGTGTAGGTGGGTCCAGACATTTTAGGCCTTCCCTTTTGCATTTTTTTAATTGGAGGATTTTAAAGAATAAAATCAATTGCTTAAGTTCCTTAAAAATGACCCACTTTTAGACATAGTGCTTATAGTCTATCATGCTCCTCAAGCCAATGGAAGTTGCACATACTTTCTGTACATGCTCAGAGTTGCACAGGTATTTCTTCAGATGTGATAAATCAAATGATCATGCATGGTCTTTTAGGAAGTTGAGGGAGTAGCAGCTTTTGAGGAAATCCTGCATTGCTGTGGGGAATTTTTGCTGCCCCAAAGCAGAGCATGAATTGATGTGGACATAATCAGTGACAGAGGAAATGTACCCTGCAAAACAGAAAGTAGAAGGGATTGGAATTATACTGATCCACGGTATTGGGGAATACAAATGTTTTAAACAATTAGATATTATTACAATTAGATAATTCTTTCATAAGATTAGATACCTCTTTCATAAGATAACAATTAGATATCTTTTTCATATTCCAACTTGAAGGTTATGGATAAAAAGTCAAATTATTCATATCATTTGAGTGTTTTAAACAAATACAAAATTATTCATTAAATGTAGAACTATTTGATTTATATTCAAGTTATCAAATTTTTATCTACACATTGTATACCATTTTTGAACATATCTACATCATGCATAATATAGAACAATCAATCTATTAATGAAGTTACCTTACTCTTTGTTGTTGTTGTTGTTATTAATTGCGAAGTCGTGTCCGACCCATCGCGACCCCATGGACAATGTTCCTCCAGGTCTTCCTGTCCTCTATCATCTTCTGGAGTCCATTTAAGTTCACACCTACTGCTTCAGTGACTCCATCCAGCCATCACATTCTCTGTCGTCCCCTTCTTCTATTGCCCTCAATCTTTCCCAGCATTAGGCCCTTCTCCAGTGAGTCCTTCCTTCTCATTAGGTGGCCAAAGTATTTGAGTTTCAACTTCAGGATCTGGCCTTCTAAAGAGCAGTCGGGGTTGATCTCGTCTAGGACTGACCGGTTTGAACGCCTTGCAGTCCAAGGGACTCGCAGGAGTCTTCTCCAGCACCATAGTTCAAAGGCCTCAATTCTTGGCGCTCAGCCTTTCTTATGGTCCAACTTTCACAGCCATACATTGCAACTGGGAAAACCATGGCCTGGACTATACGCACTTTTGTTGGCAGGGTGATGTCTCTGCTTTTTAGTATGCTGTCTAGATTTGCCATAGCTTTCCTCCCCAAGAGCAAGCGTCTTTTAATTTCTTGGCTGCAGTCCCCATCTGAGGTGATCTTGAGCCCAGAAAAATAAAATCTGTCACTACCTCCATTTCTTCCCCATCTATTTGCCAGGAATTGAGAGGGCCGGATGCCATGATTTTGGTTTTCTTAATGTTGAGTTTCAAGCCAACTTTTGCACTCTCCTTCTTCACCCGCATCAAGAGGCTCTTTAGTTCCTCTTCACTTTCTGCCATTAGAGTGGTATCATCTGCATATCTTAGGTTGTTGATATTTCTCCCGGCAATCTTAATTCCAACTTTTGATTCATCTAGCCCTGCCTTTCTCATGATGTGCTCTGCATATAAGTTAAATAGGCAGGGTGACAGTATACAGCCTTGCCGGACTCCTTTTCCAATTTTGAACCAATCAGTGGTTCCGTGTCCAGTTCTCACTGTTGCTTCTTGACCCGCATATAGGTTTCTCAAGAGACAAATAAGATGGTCTGGTATTCCCATCTCTTTAAGAACTTGCCACAATTTGTTGTGATCCACACAATCAAAGGCTTTAGCATAGTCAATGAAGCAGAAGTAGATGTTTTTCTGGAACTCCCTAGCTTTCTCCATGATCCAGCGTATGTTGGCAATTTGATCTCTAGTTCCTCTGCCTCTTCGAAATCCCGCCTGTACTTCTGGTAGTTCTCAATCTACATACTGCTGGAGTCTAGCTTGTAGGATTTTAAGCATAACTTTACTAGCATGTGAAATGAGTGCAATGGTGCGATAGTTTGAACATTCTTTGGCATTGCCTTTCTTTGGAATTGGAATGTAAACTGACCTTTTCCAATCCTGTGGCCACTGTTGAGTTTTCCAAATTTGCTGGCAAATTGAGTGTAGCACTTTTACTGCATCGTCTTTTAAGATTTTGAATAGCTCAGCTGGAATACTGTCACCTCCACTAGCTTTGTTGTTGCTCAGATTTTCTAAGGCCCATTTCACTTCACATTCTAGGATGTCTGGTTCGAGGTCAGTGACCATCTCATTGTGGTTATCTGGGACGTAAGCTCATTCTTGTATAGTTCTTCTGTGTAGTTTTGCCATCTCTTCTTAATCTCTTCTGCCTCTGTTAGGTCTCTGCCATTTTGGTCCTTTATCATGCCCATCTTTGCATGAAACGTTCCCTTCATATCTCCAATTTTCTTGAAGAGATCTCTGGTCCTCCCTATTCTGTTGTTTTCTTCTATTTCTTTGCACTGTTCATTTAAGAAGGCATTCTTATCTCTTCTAGCTACTCTCTGGAATTCTGCATTCAATTGGGTGTATCTTTCTCTTTCTCCTTTGCCTTTCGCTTCCCTTCTTTCCTCAGCTATTTGCAAAGCTTCCTCAGACAGCCATTTTGCTTTCTTGCATTTCTTTTTCTTTGGGATGGTTTTAGTTGCTACCTCTTGTACAATGTTGCGAACTTCCATCCATAGTTCTTCAGGCACTCTGTCTATCAGATCCAGTTCCTTAAATCTATTTGTCACCTTTACTGTATATTCATCAGGAATATGATTTAGTTCATACCTGAGTGGCCTAGTGCTTTTCCCTACTTTTTTCAATTTAAGCCTAAATTTTGCAACGAGAAGCTCATGATCTGAGCCACAGTCAGCTCCTGGTCTTGTTTTTACTGACTGTATAGAGCTTCTCCATCTTTGGCTGCAGAGCACATAGTCAATCTGATTTCTATGTTGACCGTCTGGTGATGTCCATGTGTAGAGCCGTCTCTTGGGTTGTTGGAAAAGAGTGTTTGTTATGACCATCGTATTCTCTTGACAAAATTCTATTAGCCTGTGCCCTGCTTCATTTTGTGCTCCAAGGCCAAACTTGCCTGTTATTCCGGTTATCTTTTGGCTTCCTACCTTAGCATTCCAATCCCCCATGATGATAAGGACATCATTTTTTGGTGTTAATTCTATAAGGTGCTGTAGGGCTTCATAGAACCGGTCAATTTCATCCTCTTCAGCACCAGTGGTTGGGGCATAGATTTGGACTATTGTGATATTGAATGGTTTGCCTTGGATTCGAATTGAGATCATTCTGTCATTTTGGGGATT